CAGCTTCCCCAGTAGTTGGCCACTCCTACAACGCAGGGTGGGGCCTGGCACATCCTCCTTTCCCAGACGTGTAAAGTTCTGTTCACCTCCTGAGTCTCAGCAGCTTTCTACTACTCCTGGAGAGAATGTTTCAATTCCGAGAAACCTGCTGTGCCACACACACACACACACACACACAATAGATAAATAAATAATATATGTATATAAATAACTAAGACAGGAAAGCAATGCACACAACACAACACTAAAGATAATCAAACATGACTAAACCTATATCCAAGCTACAAAAGCATACTGTGCTCAGTCCTGACGCAGCACCCTATCCCTATAGGAAGCTCCAGGGTCTCCCTTTACACTGACATGTAGATTTAGGTTCTTCTTGTGATGCTCTCAAAGCATTGGTGGGAAAGAGCAGGAAGAGTGAGTGGAATTGGAGATGACAATCCAAACATGACTATTGAAATGTTGTTTCTCACACAACCTCAGTTTGTGCCTGAGGGTCTAGAGTGGCAGAGTGGTTTGGGAACACGCTTTATTATTCTACACAGAAGAATGCATTCTATTTCCCGGCACTACCATAGAGTCATTATTCATTTAATAAAAATGTGGCTATTTAGCAAGAAATAATACTTTGATAATGAAAGTTGACCGAACAATACAATGTAGTATATCTAAAGAAAATAATTTCTAAGTATCAGTGTTTTCCATGTTTCCTTGTGTGACACATGGGCTTTGAACATTATGTATGCACATAATTTAAGTTACTTTTAAGAAACACACTCAGTCAACTATAAGATCATTCTCCTCTAAATTACCTGTGAAATAATCACATTAAGCAAGCAGTTATTTTTCTTTCAAAAACTGAAGATTGAGAAACGTTTTTATATCTCTGAAGACCTATGTGATCAAGGGCTTGAGGTGACAGCTCAGTCCATAAAGTGTAGAAGGCACAAGGACCGGTGTGAAAAGTCAGGCATGGCAGTGCTGGGGAGGCAGACACAGGCAGAGCTCTGGGGCTCACTGGCCAACGAGCCTCGGCTCTGTGCTGGACCCCAGCCGGTGAGGGACCATCGAAACAAACAAAAAGCCAACAAACGCAGGGATGATGGTTGTGGGGAAACAACCCTCAGGCTTGATCTCTGGACTCCCTACGCATGCACGTATGTGTAAACACACACACACACACACAGCTACATGAACACACAGAGACACATACACATCTACATGTACACACACACACACATCTACACACATATATACACATGTACACGCACACACA